CCAGGATCTGATCACGCTCCGATGTTCGTGTAGCTCCATATTTGTTTCATATCGGTTACCGTCCGGAACTCTACACGCGCGTGATGAAGCAATCCGGATCATCGCAAGACCTTCTAGGCTACAAAGACGCTGTAGTTGAGGCAACAAGACAGTGACTTTTGTGGCATCATCAAAACGATAAAATGTACTGTTTTCGGTATATCTATGCGAATTTTCTCGTTAGGAGGTTACGACGATCTCTGCCATCTCTGTGTGACTCTTGGCAATACCCCCCGCCCCACTGACGAGACAGTTGAGAAGTAAGGGCTCCTCCATCGACACCTTCTCGTAGCGACGTTCTTCCAGCAGCCATTCCACGTACGCAGTCTCATCTGCGCCGCGATGTCGCTACTGGAGAATTCCTTCACATTTAGAACGTCGTGCTCGCGACACATGGCAGGATCCGATGACGCAGCCGACGAGACTCTCTTGTTCTTCTCAACAGACGAAGCTTGGGACGAGTTCCGATAACTCTCACGTGACGGCATCGCGGCTCGAGAATTGTTGACATTCGCTTCCTGCACATCCAAAGGTGAAAGTTCGAACTAAATCTTGTCGCCAGAGTCCACGTCGACGACCTTCGGCTCGTCGCTCTCGCTCGCATTGTCCTTGTTCTCATTGATAGCTGCCAGCACATGCTCCGGTCTGGCTACCAGAACCGAGGCCTTGGGTTTACGTTGCGTGTACACCTCCACCTCGAGCTTGAGGCCGTTCTCCAGCGCCTCGACGAGCTCTTCGAGCGACACCAAGCCGCTGTTATCCTTGTCCACCACACGCATGAATTCATCGACGTATTTGTGGATCTCGCCTTGCTTGACCGTGCCAGACTGGGCGACGATGGTTTCCAGCATGTCTGCCACTTCGTCCGCGTCGATCTCGCCGCTACAGTCCTTGTCTGCCAAGCGGAAGGCCTCTTTCATCTGCATGAAGATGGCGGTCTGGCCCGGCTCCAAGTACAGCAACGCATCGCTAAAGAGCATCTCCAACGTCCTGGACGAATCGGTCACTACAGTCTGGAATAGCTCGTGGCGAGCTGCCACTTTGCACTTGTGCTCTTGCTGTCAAGTGAAGCCTCAGTGTCTCGAATGTCGACACTATTAGGCTGAACTCGGTCGTGTTCGACGCGGAAATTGAACCACCGCACCAGCTTAAATAGTAGCGTGTTGTTGCTCAGTAGTCGACGTGAACACTCGAGAACTTTTTCACATTTCAGAGTCGAGAACGCAGGTTTCCACATGAGCGGTTCGGCTTGAGCCTCCGCCAGTAAGGACGCTTGTTCCACATGTTTAGCAGGGATCTTTACCTGCTCCATCTAAAAGACCATCGTTCTCACTCTCCATTTTGTTTGTCTCCACGTAATTTTAAATGAGCGACAGTGCGACGATTGTGTAAATCTATCTATTTCTGTATCTTCAACACTTCAATACTTTGGCAGTGATCGTGCTATTGTGGTGGTCGTATATTTTCGTTTTCTGTGTGTGTGGTCCCGTCCACATTTTGGGTGGATCTACACTTTTTTAAAAGGCACTTGCTATTCAACCCGACTGGTGTGGAAGAGACAGGCTAATGGTGCCCGACAGCACCCGATCAATGCCCGACCATGCCCGACACAGATTAAGTCAGTTGAGCAATCAAGCGTCCGTATACGTATATCTGGATGTGAAGACTTTGTGGTTTGAGCGTGCAAGTACGACCGGCATCATGTCATGAGCATGAGAAACTTTATTCAGTAGAGCTCAGTGGGACTGGTAAGGGCAGAATCAATATCAAAAACTTGTTGAAAGGGTTAGCTATAGACACATATATATGTATCTGTAGCGCAGATACTGTAACTCCTTCCTACTCAGCATGCACAGACCTTGGGCACCAGCGAATACCTCAAACGCTAGCAGAACATACATACCACAATTGGAAT